TTCCTGAAAGTAGGCCTGTGACGCATTGCAATTTTTCATTAATTAATATTGTTTTTTGCTGCCGAAATCAGGTACGTGGCTGCTCGAAACGTCCTGCATTTCCAGTGTATTCAATCATCTTGGCGCGTATTGCGATCGTTTCGACGCCCAATTCTACACAATGTGTCAAATGCCTTAGTTATGGGACATTTCGTCAACGATTTTTTGTCCTCGCACCTGTTTTTTCCAGTAATTTACGTCCACGCGTTTTTTCGGCATGGGAGTTTTGGTCCACGTGCCAGTTGAGACCCAAAGTTAATTGGCCCACATGCAAATACAAACGACAATAATTGCTCACGACGTTTTTGGATGGAAATGTATAATGTCTTGGAAGAATGAGGGTTTGCTTGTTTTTTTGTTTTGTCTGTTTGGTCTAATGGAGAATAATAAATAGCTGAGAGTTTTGGTAAAAATGAAGGAGCGTCAATTCCATGAGACAAAACTCACTAAAATTCTCTTATACTCACTCATATACTCTCTTATACTCACTCACTTAAACTCTTTCAGTAAAACTCTCTACACCTCTTTGGTGTAACAGGACTTAATTGGACCGCGTTAAACAGAAAGGAACCAAGCCACATCAGCTGTTGCCAAATTTAATTGGGCAATTTAATTTTTTACATGAAAATGGTTGTGCGGATTGTCGTGCAAATTTCAGTGAAAATTCTCCATGGTATGAAGCAAATTTCTTAAAATTTTCGAAGAAATCCGAACAAACGTTCTCTTGTAAAAAATTTAATTGCCCAGTTAAACTTGGCAATAGCTGATGTGGCTTGGTTCCTTTCTGTTAAACTCGGTCCAATTATCTTTCCAGAAATTCCCACCTTGTTATACCTGAACCGGGTAAACCTCTATATTTGCCACAGCTAAGGCTCTTAGATTTTTCCTGTGTATCATAAGTATCTTCATTTATTTTTCGAGGAAAGATCTGTACTTTTATAGGATGCCTGTTATTCTTAATACGTTCCATTTCGTATAATATTATGCATCATCTTTGTTGTGAAATAGTTGCTTCAGGAGTCGCCGCACGGCGGGCGGGCGGCCAGCGCGCCTACAAACCTAAGTGGATACTTCAAGCATTGTGCAACGCGGGAAGTATCCACTTAGGTTTGTAGGCACCAGTGAGCCTCTCGCGCTGGCAGCACGCCGCTCCGCTCTCTTAGGCTTTAATATTTATACTCGAATAGTCAGCGTTTTTTAACTCATGATTTTGAAATGTTTGCACACTCTGCATTGATTGTTCTCATTTAAATTGATGGGAAAAAAATATGTATCAATTTATCGAAGGAGAATAATAATAAAATGTGTGTTTTTTAAATATTGGTGGTTCCGTGTCACATTTCTTTTACATTTTGTGCTTTTATTGTGCTGCAGCAAGGTGTACGCGCAACCAAACGCTCATAAGTTGACGTATTCAACTCTGAAATATCGATGTACAAATGGGTTAAAACTAAAGATTGCGTGCTTCTTGGTTTTTTCCCCTCTTCTATTCATTTTTGCAGTTTCTGTCGGTACAACTGCGGCTCATTGAGATTAATGTCGCTTGGAAAAGGTTTTACAAATATTTGTCACGTTTTAAAAATATATTTTTTTTCAAAATGAAGTAATAACTTCGTAAAGAAAAAATTAAAACTATAAAAAAAGCACCTATACATATGTGAGGTATGAAATTTTACCTTATTCAGCTTGCAGCCACAAAAATTGAAACTTAGTTTCTCCGTTTCACCCGGCATGGAGGGCATCCTCAGGCAGGCACACATTATAACTTAAAAACTAGCCGTAAAAGCTGATCGATTGTCCTCGCGAAATATTGAAATCGACGAATGTCTATGCGGAATAATTTAAAACCTTTTTTTAAAAAACACGAAAGCACAAAAACTAAAACTACAACGGTGGCCACCACGATACTCCGGCTAGTATGATTGCTCGAAAACTGACCGGTAAACTGTAGTCCAGGCGCCTAGTAGTTAAAAATGAGGCTACATGCAATTTCGGGTACATAGCGATTTTTTTGGCTTACTGTAAGTTTTTTGGGTCGCTGAATTCGAATCTAAAGTTTCCTACCGCGTATCTGGTGAGCATTTTCCGCCAATATGAAAAAATGTCCTAAAAAGGCCTTTTTCTGCGGTTTTTTTTATCAAGTGGCTACGCATGAGTAAAAGTCCCAGATTTAGTTAATGTTTTGAATAGCTGACATAATTTGGAAGAAAATGATGTATACATATGCTAGGTTTGCTTAAAAATTGAGGAAGATACAGCATCGTGAACATCGCGCCCATTCATGTTTTCGCGGCGCACCCGTCAACGCGCGATCCGGCTCGCCGCGGTCAGCCAAGTTCCGAAGTGTTCCAAAGTTCCGAGATCCGAGGTTCCTCAATTTTTGAGCAAACCTAGCATATTCATATACCTTTTTCTTCCAAACTATGTCAGCTATTCAAAACAGTAACTAAAGTCGGGACTTTCTCTCATGCGTAGCCGCTATATCAAAAAAACCGCAGAAAAAGGCCTTTTTAGGCCATTTTTTCAAAATGGCGGAAAATGCGCATCAGATACGCGGTAGGAAACTTTAGATTCGGATTCAGCGACCCAAAAAACATGAAGTAAGCCAAAAAAATCGCTGGGTACCCAAAATTCCAGGTAGACTTACCAGGCGCCTGGACTACAAAGAGAGCACGTCACTGGGAGGAGCAAAAAGATAACTACACGTAGAATAATCAGAAGAAAGCACTGTGCGCCATGCCCAGTACATCGGTGTCAGTTCTGAAATTAATAGAATTTGAGCACCGTTTAATCTGTATGGCTTCATGATACAACCTTGCCCTGAAATTGGGTTCTCTGATGAGTGCTTCTGGATTTTTGAAATTAAATTCGTGCTGTTGTTCCTTGCTGTGTTGGTGCAAAGCAGTTTTCTCCTTTTTGTCATACTTATCGTCGCTCCTCTGACGTAAGGGCGTATCTCGATTTCCACATGAGCCGCGGAAAGCATGGAGATATATGGAGAACAGGGCTCACGTTCAAATTGAAATACGCCCTTACGTCAGAGGAGCGACGTTGTGTGACCGTATTCGTTCTCCCAGGAAGCGTTTAGTACGGCCTATATAGGCAACATTGCAATTCCCCCCCATTGCATGCCCCCATGCGGGGCGAAACGTTGCGGAGGAACTAAGTTTCAATTTTTGTGGCTGCAAGCTGAATAAGGTAAAATTTCATGTGAAAATTACAGCCATTATATCGTGAAATATGTAAGGTATATTGTGCATCGAATATTTTAAGGATAGAAATAAAACCAAATATTCACCAATGAGAATTTAAAAATATGATTCAAAAGGAGAAAGTAATAACATTTAATTTAGAAAATGAGCAACCATAACAACACCTCCTTCTCTCTCAATTTCTCATTTCCATATTGTCGATATAATTTTACATACCGACTAAAATGTCCGCTTGGACCAAGTCATTGTTGCTTATTTTACGTGTGGGCGTAAACTACTGGACAAAAAAGTTGCGCGGACAAAAAATCTCTTACAAAATGTCCTGAAACCAGTGCCTTAGTTCCTTGCCGGAGAATGACTGGCGGACTCGTTTAGAGCTTTTGCAAGCTTGTAAGTGTTACTAATGCTTCAATATTTTAGGTTGATTGATTTTTGTGAAGGACTGTATTTTTCAATTGTAAATCCCAGAGATGACAGGGTTTCGTTTTTTAATTTCTTTTTAATACTTATAAGACCGTGGCCGTGCTTAGGGTAGTCCCTCTAGGGGGTGCGCGCGGAGGTTTGTAGTCGGGGTCCACACCCACTCGCACGCTGCTGCACATCGGCACGGCATGTGATACCTATCAGGAGAAGCCTGTAACGTCGCTGTATCTTTCCAAGGAAAAGCGTACATTTTCCGTACTTTCATTTCTGTGCAATTTTTCAGTCCATGCACGGTTTTCCGCACAATAATTGTTGATATTTTGTTTCTAATTCCATGTCCTTCAATTTGTTTCTTTCCTAGTTTGTTATGACACGGCATGTGATGCCTATCACGATACGCCTGTGTGTCGCTCTGCTATTCCAAAGAAAATCGTACATTTTCTGTACTTTCAAATCGGCGTTTCAAATCTGTGCTCTTTCAGTCGATGCAAACTTTTTTCGCACCGTAATTATTTATATTTTGCTTCTGATTCCACGTTCTTCAATATGTTTCTTTCCTAGTTTATTGTGACACGGCATGTGATGGTGGAGTCATTTTGGATAGGCAGCGCTGTCAAGCCTACTGCAATTCTGTGCATGGTAGAGTTCCTCTGTTCAACAAGCCATACAGCCATGGAACGTGTTTCAGGGACAACTGTGTTTGCCAATTTAACCATTCGGGGCTGCGACCATATGCGGATCAATGTGCCATCAGGTTTGCTATGTCATCCCTCGGAAACCAAATAAAGGTCGCCGATAGAGCAATAGGGGTAAGAATTCTCCGGTCTCCTAAAACTACATGATAATCAACTTTAAAACCGCACGTAGAGCCCATTTCTGGGTAGGATATTCCTGAATCACACGCTGAGTTCGGCAGTCTGAGCATTGAGTCTAGAGTCCATACTCTTGAAAACATTGACAAGAAAAAAATACTCTTGATTCAATCAGATTGAAGCTTAAATCAAAAGGAAATCCGCTCAAATTAAGAGGATGGGTCCTTGGTTTAAGCTTAAATCTGATTGAATCAAGAGTATTTTTTCTTGTCGATGTTTTTAAGAGTCTGGACTCTAGATCCAATATTTTTTTTCAGTAAAGAATTCAGAATCGCTTTTTTACGATCGAATTGATACTAGGTGAGAAGAATACTCGTCTAGTAGTAATCCCTCAAAGATTGAGAATTGTTTATATCGGGTAGTCCATTTCTTAAAATCTAATATTAAGTACTTGCTCATTCCAACGTGATCTTCACCTTCTATTTCTCTCGGTTGTTAGGCAAAATTTGTTCGCATGGACGCAAGAGAAAAATTCGCGGCATTCAAGAAGGCTTATGGGAAAACCTATCGCACACCAACTGAAGAGAAAGAACGGTTTATGATATTCAATGAGAACTTGAACCAAATCGACAGTCTCATGGCTAGGAGAAGAGGGAGTGTTGTTTTCGGCGTTGGCCCATACGCGGATTTAACTAGTAAGTTTCGTCACGATATTCACATCATTGAAAAGAAATTCGCTGCATAGTCACAGTCAAACACGGCAGCGAAATAAGAGAGATGAACTCAACTAATTACTTCCTTAAATTCTGTAGGACTAAAATAGTTTGTGAAATTGAAATACTTACCGTTCAAGAGATCTCAATCCTGGAAGATGTATGAATTTGACTTATGTTTTAATTTTTGACAAAAGTCCATCAGAATGAACACTCATCATTATTAATTTTATTTGTTTCGTTAATATTCAGCCGTTTTATTCATCTCTACCTGGATATCGTTCCAAGCAGTTCGAGAGAACATGCGCAACTTTTAACGAGCAACTATTCGTACTCCTGCGTAGATGAGGTTGCGGCACGAAAAATTGAAGGGGTTTTTTCTCGTGCGATTCACACTGCACCTAAGCTGATGAATATCTCAACTGGGGTCATTACATAATCAATATTATAAACTAGGGGGTACGCCTCCCTCCTAGTTCAAACATTCACAAGGAATGAAGAAAAATAAATTCTTGCCAAAATCCAATGACATTTTTAAAAACTATAAAATTCTTTGAAATTGAAATAAGTCTCAAAATTCAACGAGGCTGAAATTTTTAAGGAGCTTATCGCAATTTAAATAATTAATGCAATTAGAAATAGTTCATGAAATTTCTTTCAATCGAAAGAATGGAGAATTTACATGCACTTTTTTTACTGCTTCATCTGATAGTACTTAAAGAGCTGATTTTACAGTATTTTTTATACTTTTTTTTATATAAAAAATAGTATAAGAATAGATTTAAAAGTGAGAAAATGCACCACCTAGTGACATCATATGGCGGCATTTCCCATTTAAAAACTTGTACTTTAGTAGGTTAAATAATTTTGTCATATCTTCTCCAATTAATTGCTCAATTCATGAATCAAGGGTATCCTCGTGTTCAGTCCACTCAGTACTTTCCACTTAAACACGAAATTCATCAAATTTTAGATGCCTGCGAATTCTCTATTCTTTTCATTTGACGGAGTGCTATGAAATAGACATGTTTTAGAACATTTTGCAACTAACTATACAATTCTGCGCAGGCTACCTTAGCAGGTTAAATAATTTTGTCATTCTTCTCCAATAATTGCTCAATTCATGAGTCAAGGGTATCCTCGTGTTCAGTCCACTCAGTACTTTCCACTTAAACACGAAATTCATCAGATTTCACACACCTGCAAATTCTCTATTCTTTTCATTTGACGGAATGGTATGAAATAGACATGTTTTAGAAAATGTTGCAAGTAACTACACAATTCTGCGCAGGCGCAGAGTACTCGGCATCTAAGGGCACCCTACAATCTGAGGACGCAAGCACCGAAGCCCCATGGTTAAAACCACGAATGCTGAATCCGAACCAAAGCTGGTGGAACCAAAGACCAAGACAGAGATCGGCGCCGGCACCAACCACCCCTAGGGGACACCCACCCCCTCGGTCAAACTCGGTACCTGCATCGTTTAGACCCCCACCTTTCGGCTACAGAGGTTACGAACCAGAAGGAAGGATCCTCATTGACTGGCGCGTTCCGGCCAACCTGTATCCACCAACTGTGCCTCAAGTAAGCAACGACAGGGTGGCAAAATTTCATGAAAATTAAAATACTGAAATTTCACGTGAAATATTTCATGGAATTCTAGAAATTTATGAAAGATATTGAAAAATACCAGTGTCTTTCCACGTTTCGCAAAAGTAAAAGATTGTGACTTTCTTCTGTTCTTGTGTGTTTGAGTGCAGGTTGAATACCCTAGCCCCTGAAAAACATGAAATATTTCACAGCCTAGTGAGATTTCATGAAATATTTCACTGAAAATTCCAATCTTTCATTTCCTTCTTACGTTTCATGCCACCCTAAGCAATGACCTCCACTTTCAGCTACTGAGGGTTAAGGCAATGTGAATCCATTTCTGATTGGTTCCCGTATTTTAGGCCTACGCAGTGCCGTAAACGGGATGGAAGATTACGTTTTCACCGATTGCAAAGATTATAATCTAGAATAGACCGGGGAATAACGGGTTCGGCAAGGGACAAACGGAATGAGAGAAGGAACGGAGAGAGGAATTTGAGAATGAGCCGATCAAAGATTACGAAAAAATTTCAATATGTGTAATCTTTATTCCCGTTTGTGACTCCATGAGGGAGAGGGGGGTAGGGGTTGTCTTAACTCTCAGTATAAAGAGACTCTACTTTCATCTAATGAAACTCTTGCTTGTCACGGGAATCGACCAGTAGACAAGATACGGATTTTGCTCAAAATGAATCGATTTCAACTATAAGTGGCTTGTAGTCGGGACTTGATGCGATTGATGAGTGTTGCAACTTAAAATATAGCAGCGCGACTCCTTTTTTATCAACAATCGCGAACAGATCGTTTTTACCGATTCACTTTGAGCTTCCATTTTGACGAGTGGACATGGGGCTAAAGTGATTCGATGGAAGCTATATTATTTTGTGTCGGGACGGCATGCGATACATTGCATCGATTATTTACATTTTCCCAGCTACTCATCATTTTCCTCGCATTATGAGATCGCAATTCTGCTGTCAGTAGACTAAAATATTCACTCGCTAATATTGACACACAGATTCAAAGTAATAAGGGCATCGTTTTTTTGGAGGAAAAATATCGCATTCGAGTGCAATTCCGACATCAGTGTCGGATGCGATATTTTGCCTCCACAAAAATCACGCCTTCATTACATTGAATTTGTTTGTCAAAATTGGTACGTGAATTCTTTATTCTCCTGACAGAATTGCGATCTCAAAGTTCGAGAAAAATTACGAGTACCTGAAAATGGAACAATTGAGGACACCGCACCAAGAACAACCTATAGGCGTATAGGTCGTTATTACGCCAATCTGCTTTTCGGATTCTACGTACCCTGGACTATGCTGTGGTAGCGATAGAATATAGATAGGTAACGTCTCGAGGTCGAAAAACCTTTTTTTTCCGAGGCAAGTCAGGCCTCTGGATCGATGGGTGCAAGAACGACCTATACGCGCGGCCTTATCATTCTCGGTTAGCGGGCATCGGCGCGGCGCGGCGATAGTGATGGCTCGATTTTTTTATCTCATTTTATAAAGATTTGTTTTTATTTCAGAAAAACGAGCTATTGAAATAATTTATTCTCCTCTCAAACTATCCTTTCCTCCAAAAATGTATACTTCGCATTTTGCCACCAAAATGACTGTTGGGCGTAACACGGGCCTATAAATTTAAGGGCCTATAATGTGCTAGTTACCCCTCTCTATACTCACCATCGATATTCTTTTATTTTGCGTTAATCATGCGTGATTAAAATGATTTATACTGCATATTGCCACCAAAATGACTGTTGGACGTAATAACGACCTATAAACCGCTTTTTTAAATTAACTATATTAGAGTGTAAACCCAAAATGTATCGCAAAATCTACCCGGCATCCTTCAGTAGAAGGGTTAGGTCACCCAAAAACACCAAAACAGGGTACCTGCATAGAAAAGTCTGCGCAGTACATCAAAAACAAAACTTTAAATGCGTTTTTCTCAAAACGCGGTTTCCAGTTATAGGTTGTTCTTGGTGCAATGTCCTCAATTGATGCAATACATTGCATGTCGCTCTGACTCAAAATATGGCATCCATCAAATTACCTTGGATTATATAACCTTGAAAAATACCATGATTGAACCTGGAACGCATGGATGGGACGTAATTCTGCCAGATGGAACTATGTGCATTATGACGTGAGTCCTGTCACGCATTTATTCTTATGGGCCTCAGGGCTCATGTCTTAATGCACATAACTCCGTTTGACAGAAATACGTCCAATAGTCCGATGCGCTAGCCACTAGCAAGTCGCGATGCGACCTCTGTAAGATAAGAAACAAATTCAAGTTCAGGAGAAAGGTTTTTCTATCCCTAGATTTCTCAAAGTAACCAGCGGTTTCGGTCGAATTAACGAAAGATTTGGTCAATCAACCGCTTACTTTTGGTTGATCTGGTAGAAAACAGAATAATTTAAACAAGCCCAGTATAACCATAGAGAGAAACAAGGAATTTTTTTACTATGTGCCATCTTCCATACAGTATAAAAGTTACCTCCGATTATGATGATGATGACCATGATTGATGGGTGAGAAAATCTAACTAATACGACCCCAAAAAATTCGGAAAAATTCTAATTGCAGGACCAGTTCGGACGGAAGTGCGGCGCGTGTTATGTTTTTGCAGCAGTTGGTGCCGTTGAGATCCTTTTGGCTAAGGCAGAAGGCAAAGTCACCCAGCTCTCCCACCAAGGTGAGTCCACACAGCTCGGTCGGTATATCACCACCATTCTCAAATGCAAACGGACTTTATTCATTAGCAGTTTCTATGTTACACTTACTAAATTTTTCTGTTGTGAGAACAGAACTTCGGTCGTGGGAACAGAGTACTGCCGTGATAGCGAAGAGAGCCGTAAGTGCAAAATTTTCGAAATCGAGTTTTCTTCAAAATTCGTCTAAACTCTTTTAGATGATATTACTGACACAGCTAAAACAGCAAAATCCATCCTAATTTAATGAAAACGAGACGTATGTAAAAGCCATAAGTGCACAAAAAATGCACAGTTTTTTTTCAAGACAGCCGTAGATGCATGAGAGCCGATGAAAACAGTGCTTTCCAGTAAAGTGCCGCCCTCTTCTGCCAATTTCTAACCTGAAAATGTGTTTGTTGTGCGTCCAAAACGCAACCACGGAAGCGTGCAGAAGATAGCACTCACGGCTGCCATGCCTAACAATAACCTGGCGTGAAAATGAAAAATACCCTTTTAAAGTACTGGAAATAAAATCAGTCGATTTTTAATCATCCGTACGATTTCTAGGAGTCTTCCGGGCGATTAGTGGCAATCTGACAAAGAACGGAGGTTTCTTTCAAAAAAATGATCTTGTCAGAAGCTTCTGAGCCCGTTTTCTCAAAACTTCATTTTTGCACTTACGGGGTTCTCTTCGCTATCACGTCAGAGTACTCTGTCCTCATAACGGAAGCTTCTGTGACTTTTAACCCATTGACTTACAATGACGGCTCAGAGCCGTCCGCTGATTGTTCGCGTTATTTCGGCAATTCTCCGGTAGATTGCGTTCTCATCAATGTTTGTATGAGTAGTGTGGCCACCCTATGACTTATTGTGTACGGTAATTTCTTGTTTTGTTGCGGTACTTTCATATTATTGTGCGTTTGCACGTGAAATAACCTCAAAATTTTCTGATTTTCGCTGATCTTGCGATTTTTGCGATTTTGACAGCTATAAACCACATAAAAAAATCATTGTGTTCAAAGTTTTCACCATTTTTCTCAAACGTTGTATTGTGAATGCTTATTTTGTCAATTTTCACCCTTTGAGAAATAATTTCTGGATTATTTTGAAGTGTTCAAAGTTGCTGATTTTCGCCAAATTAAATCGTAATTCCTGGCCCGGCAGGGTCAAATTAAATCATAAGTCAATGGGTTAAAAAAGAAGTGTAGGAGCCCTGTGAAGAGAAATATTTTTTTCATAGTACACTTCAAACTTCACAATCTGCGTAAGAAATATGCGTTCTAGAGAGTTTCCCGGTTCAAAAACTATCCGGCACACGTGAACATTTTGCGAGAGGAGTGTTCCATACAACCCTTGCGCACTTGGTCCACAACATTCAACATGGCTCACGTCAACCTGCCAAAACTCACGTGCCGGGTCAGGATGAAAATAGTAAGATCTACCTAAACCGAAACTTTCTACGTTCAATAACTAATAACCAAAGACATAAAGACGGAGCACTAAAAGCAAAAAATGAAGCTTCTAGAGCTTCTTTTCAATCACCTCTACTATTGGCTAGAGGATTGGCGGCGAAATCGGGACAAGTTTGAATTCAAATGTAGGGCGGGAACTAATAAATAAAATTGCGGAAACAAAGTATTTTAGGTTGATTTTTGCCCAAATTCAGGTACACACTCATATTTTTTTAACTTTAGCTTAGTTTCAGTCCGTCGTCAACCGATTCATTTCATTTGGGAGTAACGTTGATCTAGAACTGTAACGGCCTGTTTGAACCTGCAGAACCACCATGAGCAGAAGAAAAACTAACTTTATCTGAGATTACTGCCTGTTACCGAGCAAAAGTAGGTGTATTATATTAGGACGCAGACCGAACTTTCTTAGTATATTCGTTTTAGGAATTTAAAATACGTTTCAAAATAGAAATGTGCAAAAATCAAGAGGACAAGTTCAAATCAAATTTCCGTTTGCCGCCATGGATTCCCGCGCTCATTTACACACTCACACAAGCGCGCAGCGCCGAACCTAGCTTCACTTTTTCCCCGTGCTTTTAGATACGAGCGCTCCGTCTTTATGTCTTTGACCTAAACCGTAACTTTCTAAGTTCAATAACTAATAACCTAGATATCGCCCTTTGAAAAGTCTGGTTTTTGACGACACCTCCTACCGCTGCAGTGACACCCTTGGTTTCTTCCACCTTGCTCTTATCCGAGTTTCACGTTGAACAACCAGCGCAAATGTGCGTCACGCCGACTGATGAAAGTAAGGTGGAGGAAACCAAGGGTGTCACGTGTCACTATCGCAATGAATGATGTCAACCTGAGGGAAACATTAATTCAATTTCATTCACAGCATCCGTGCACTGCTAAAGCAGTATTTTTGGGAGTCCGTCGGACTCATCGCGAGCGGTTATAGATGAGGTCAAAACCCCGACTTTTCAAAGGACGATATCTCTGCTGTTATTGAACGTAGGAAGTTTCGGTTTGGATGGATCTTATTATTCTTAGTTACTCTACAAGAACCAAGCATCAAAACATGATTCTGTGACCAGCGCCACTGACCCATTCTCATGAATGGAGATGTTGCATGTGTGAGGGATTTGCAATTTGACTGCGTTAATTCTTATGTAAAAGTTCGCGAAAAACACGATGGTGCCACTGGTTTTCTCTGAAATCATCTCCCAAGCTCAGAAAAAGCTCTCAAAGTGAGGCCAAAACGGAGGGGATATCCCGCCCTACCCTGAGAGTCCACCTCTATATCAAAACAAACTCTCCATGCAAAGATAGGGAGCAAATACATTAGCAGCGTTGCCGTGTTTTCAGTTTTGGAGTCCCCAACTAAAGTGGCAGCCCTGTCAATGTATTTGCTTCCTATCTTTGCATGGACAGTTTGTTTTGATGTAGAAGTGGACTCTCAGGGTAGGGTGGGATATCCCCTCCATTTTGGCCTTAACTTGAGAGCTTTTTTTGAGCTTGGGAGTTAATTTCAGAGAAAACCAGTGGCACCATCGTGTTTCTCGCGAACTTTTACATAAGAATCAACAGTCAAATCGCAAATTCCTCACACATGGAACATCTCCATTCGTACACATGCGGGATTGTTCTTAGCTTTGATTGACTGTGATCATGCGGAGGGCCAGAACGGCTGCGTGGGCGGGAGACTTCGAAACTCGCTGGACTACATAAAGAACTCTGGAATACCAACCGCCAAGAAATACCCATACGAGGCGCAGAACGGCCGATGCAAGCACAAAAAACCTCACGTAAAAATTGCCGACTGGTTCACAGCAGATAAGGATAATCTGGAGGAACACTTGAAATACAGTCCTATCCCGACAAGCGTGTTTGCTCCTACGATTCTCCAAGTAAGAAAGGTTTTGTTACATTATCCCTACCTATCCTATGTTATCCCTATCTATCCTATTTTATCCCTATATATGCAATTTTATCCCTATCTACCCTGTTTTATCAACATCTACCCCGTTTCACACTGATATTTCCTATTTTCTTCGACTGTCTCCCTTCTAATACATCTCCTTTTTATCCGAGTCTATCATGTTTTTTATCGAATGATATATCGAAGTTTTTATTTAAATTTCCCTTGGATTGCCAATGGCGTTTACTGATTCGTTAATGAAAAGACCAATGAGAATGCAAATCGACACGAACGTGTACACAAAAAAGGCCTTGGCTTTTTTTAATATCGTAGGGGAAAAAATCTACCAATCTGATATTTCTTTAGTTGCAATGAGTTCAGGGAGCAAGCATTCAGAGATAATATATTTTGGAACACCCGGCTGAACAACGGAAGCAGCAGCGGATGTATGAAAGGTCAGCCCGCCTTCAATTCTGTGAGTACGCAACACGCGCATCCCTTGAGCACGAATAGTTGCATCAACAAGGCGCTGAAGTGCAAGCTAACACTGTTCCCCTGGGTAACAGCAAAATTTTATTATTCGATCGTGAAACCACAAAGCCCTTGTCCCTAGTCAGAAGTTAGAAGAAGAAACCACAAGATTAAACGCTTTAAGTTTTATTAATTTTGGGAGCCGGGAATGAAAAATGCACATTTTTGGGCATGGTGCCAAGAATTCCGATGCTCTTGGTTCGGAAATTCATCACAGAAAGCATGCACCACTTCATAGGTTTACTACTTCTTTAATATATGCTACCGTGCTAAGGAAGAACGCCGTATGAACATTCGAGAGTTGCCATATTTCCTTCAATTAAATGTTTATTTTTGAGGAAAAATATGTATATTATTTCTTGGAATTTGCAGGAACTTTAGATAAAATTGCGGACAATATTACCTGAAAAAATAGAACAAAAATACCCATAAGTTTACCAGGCAATTTGTGTTTTACCAACCAAAATTTGGCAACGCCTGACGGTTCATACCGCGTTTTTCCTCAGCACGGCAGTATGTCCGTCTCCTAGTCTGATGACTACCTGACGAATGATCCTGCTGGAAATTTTCCGGTAGGGCAAATAGAAGAGTTATTTCTTGCAAAAAATAACTTTATTGTCTATAATACTTTTCTTACTTCATAATCAGCGTAAAAAAAATATACTTTTTTTTTAGCTTTCCGCCTCAAAAACGATACTACAGCACAGATGAACATTTCCTGAGAGAAATCGTTCCATCCAACCCTTGCACATTAGGATGCTGCGCTACAACATGGCCGACGCCACCCCGCCAAAATACGCGTGACAAGACTGGGTTTTATCAACCAGCGTGTTCACACTTCCATTTTTCTTTGTTTGATAAAGACCATGGTGCTTTCTCGCGATCTGCGCGTCAGACATGTTTAAATATTCTGTAGCATTCTGGTGGGCAAGGATTTGATGGAATGAACCCTCTTACGAAATGTTCACCTGTACTGTACTATCGTTTCGGAATCAGGAGGCTTAAAAATACGCTTACTTCTTACGGAGATTTTGAAGTTAGGAACGTACTTAAGACTCCTCTAATGCGCTCATTGTGATTTTTCAGCAATTTTCTGTTAGAAACAACCCTCCTCTTTGCTCTAGCTGAGGTTATAGCGATAGGCCTATTAAGTAACCTATTTCTAGAAGAGCACATGCGGGAAGATTTTAATAATGATTGCTTGTCAAAATTAAAACATTTTAAATTCCTTCCTACACACTGGTAAGTATTACAAACAGTAAAGTCGGTAAAATCAGTAGTAAATTGACATTTTAAAGAGGAAGTTTGAGCCTATACACTTAAATTTACGATTTCATCCTTTTATCGGGCGCTTTATTTATCAAGATTGGCGAGTTAATAAATCCTAAAATTGCATTTTAGTGTTATTATTTATTATTTCACTATTAATGTAATATGAAGGTTTGGGCTTTTTCAACTAATCACATAGATATTGGTGTTTTGAGAGGATTAATTGGATTTAATAGGATTCATTTGTATCTTCGTTATGGCTCTCGACAAAGCGGTTGATTTTTGTTTCAGCACTACGTCTCAGGCGTGTTCGATGAGGAAGGGTGCGTCAATGATTTACAATACGCAAAACACAGCGTTGTTATCGTTGGACATTATAAAGGTATTCCAATCTTCATTTTTCCTTTCTGAATTGAACGGCATATTTGAAGAAGGACGTAATTAGTAGTCCCTACATTAAGTTAACTACTGTGCTAAGGCAGAACGCCGTATGAGCATTCGAGAGCTGCCGAATTTCCTTCAATAGAATGTTTATTTTTGAGGAAAGTTATGTATGTTTTTTTCTGGAACAATATTATCCGAAAAATTAGAAGAAAAATACCCACAAGTTTATCAGGAAATTTGTGTTTTACCAACCAAAATTTGGCAACGCCTGGAGGTTCATACCGCGTTTTTCCTTAGTACGGAGGAGTAGACATCAGAGTTTCTGGGAGCGGAAGTTTGAATGAGCTAAAGCAAAAACCTCTTGATCCCATACAAATTGACAAAACTGTGCGCAAATTTGTGCGCGATCAAACGGATGACATGCTTCGTCGATGACGAAAAATAATGCACTGCGTTTTGTTGCGTGCCTGGTCCATTCTTCACATTAAGATTAATAGTTTCAAACTATTTTTATTTAAACAAAATGTCGTGTCACTGAATTACACGCGTATGAAAAAGGAACCGGGGTCAACACAGAAAAGAGAGAAACACCGAGAGGTACCGTGGTATTCATGAGTGTATTGGGTGTCAGAGAGGTGAAGACTGAGGATAATGCCGAGCACGGCTGTACTTATACAAGGTGTACAGATAAGAGTCCTAGTGACTCATTATTGCGCGAATGCACAAGGTTCTTGCTACTCTGAGGCAATACGCATGACTAATACGGAGTTCCTGTGTGACTATGAAAGGATATGGCACATCGTTCATGATGCAATACCTGGGTATGAAATGGATATGACACAAAATATCCTGTTTTAATCGTGAAGATGTGGTTCTTCTACGGATACTTATTCTACTACGATGAAACGAGTATTTGACTGGAGGAACATTATGATAACCTGAGGAATTTAAATGCCTTACAAGCGTATGTCTGTCCTACTTGATAAAGCACCTTCTTTTTGCATTGAAGCAAATATATCTAATTAAAAATTGAGGATGGATTTAGGAGGAATTGAATTTGGAAGGAATTGTTTGAAAGGCAGAAATTTAAAAAAAAAAAAAAAAGATGGATGTCACTCCTCATAATTATGTGTTTTCGAAAAATAAACTTACAAAAAAAATTCGTGACACCCCTAGATTGGATATAACACTAAGAAAAACGTTCCTCAAGTCCCTCAGTCCACAATCTGCATTTGTCTGACGAAATTAAGTATCATGAGAGAAAAAATTAAAAACAAAAATGAAGAAAAAATAAATTTTACGTCAAATTTACGTTTTGATATCATGTGCTGATTTCAGACGTGTGGATTCTCCGAGACAATGAACTTCCCACTTGGGGCTTACAGGTATACAATACTTCAATTCGTGTATGTACATATTGGAGCCGCTGAGTCAGCTTTGTATGGCGCTATATTACTCTTAATCTCCAAACTATCGAATATTTTGGATTGTCACGAGTGAAATTATCTAAACCAAGCCAAGGAAAACACTCTCCACTTTTTCCAGTACATTTGTTCTTCACATTAGCCATTTTTTCGTGTTGTGATAATTAACAAGGTAGAATCGACCACTAGACAAGGTACGAATTTCAACATTCTGATACATGTGTCTTCACCAAAATTTCACGTAAAACACGATGAGCACAACGAAAATTATCGAAATCAACTCCTTCCGAAAATATTTAATGATTCCTGATGCGTGAATCCAAACCACCCGCTCATGAAAACTCGACGCTCTACGTGATTCACATCGCGAGCTAAACGTGATCATGACAGTCTCAGCGATATAAAAATCTAGCGACCCCAATATCGACGTTTTGGCTCAGCTATAGCAAATTACTTATAGTTTGAAGAACACACGGACATGGACACATGAACATTCCTCGATTGAGAAGCTTGCTGAAACCGTTGTAGTGCGCGATTTGACCCGCGTAGAGCTTTGAGTTTCTTGTGAGCAGGCAGTTCAAATTCCTCGTTACTATAATGTGAAATAAAAACGTTAATATCTTCGTTAGGAGTTGGTTTTAGTCATTTTTGTTGCGCGAATTGTGTTCTACGTGATATTCTGGTTCAGAGACATGTAGCAGAATGATTAAATTCGTTCCTTGTCGAATGGTCCATTAAGAGAGAATCAATATCATTTCTTGGAGTTTTTCAGAGTTTGCATCACACAGGGAAAGTCGCGGTACTTTTCACGAATTGATGTTGAGTTGTTCTCCACTACGAAAATAGAGTACTACAAGAATTCGGCAACATCGCAAACCGAGACACGAGGCTTGGGAGTTCTGCCGTGCTAAGGAAAAACGCCGTATGAGCCTTTAGACGGTGCCACATTTCATTCAATACCAAACGAATGGACTGGAAAAATTCTGGATACTTTTCCTCCAATTTTTCGAGCAATTTTGTTCACAATTTAATGAAAATTTCAGGGGGAAATTTGCACAACCTAGCGAAGGGATAAACATTGCATTGAAAATTTGACAACTCTCGAATGTTCATACGGTGTTCTTTAGCACGGCAGAGATGCACTGTCGATAAGCAGGCCAATGGTCAAATGCCTAGATAGCTGTCAAATGTGAAAGACGAGCAAGGTTGGCAAATTGCCAATGCAGTCAGGGATTATTCTAGCTCTTCACGGAAAAAAAAAGAATTGCTCATACAGCAATTCAATTGCTAAAAACAGTGAGTGCAATGTTTCAACGCAGATTTTACTACAAAAAAATGCTACTTTAACCACATTGTAAACTAATTTAACCACGGGGGTGGTTAAAGTAGCATTTTTTTGTAGTAAAATCTGCGTTGAAACATTGCACGCACTGTTTTTAGTAATTGAATTGCTGAATCAGCAATTCTTTTTTTTCCGTGAAATTTCAACTGTTTTGAACTGTAACAATGTATAATTTGTCAAAAAAATTAACGATCAAACTTTTAAATAACCTGCATTATATGAAAAATAGAGCAGATTTGATATAGATATTCATTTGCAGCTAAAAATTTAAGAAAATAGCACGAAATGATGGACAACTTTACGGGGGGCCTGTGCGGGTAATTTTCTAGAAAAAAAATCATGGAAAAATCGCAGGTTTTTCAAGTTCTCGAGATAAATAAGTGATTATTTGCCTTAGGATCTGACAAAATGCCTGATTTGACCACGTCGGCCTAAGACATACACTTGCCAACTTTTATCAGAATTTTTTTTTCTTGCAGGGTCACTATTTGCTGAGGAAAGGAATATGCGGCATTGGATTGAGGGCTTATGAAATACAAGGCCCCTATCAACGTCAACGAAGCACAAAAAGACAGAAACTGGGTTTTTAATCACGCGAAAAAGTGTTTGGAATTTGAAAGGAATCTTCCAATATAATACAGAACATATTTTGGAGGAAGGTAGAACACTGATTCCAAGGTTGCACGAGTGACTCAAACCATTCAATATTTATACCAGAATGTATTAGATCAATTTTTGTGTAAAATTCTTCTGATTTTCGCATGAGATCAGAGAAAAAATTAATGCGATTTTTAGTTCGGAATGACTGATATTTTTCTGATGAAGATGCGATTTGCGAGGGAAAATTTGGTGACATTGACATGCGTTCTTCCTTAGAAAGAACGACGAATTGTTAGGAGCAGTGAAAAGTTAAACGGTTTCTAAAGATTTTTGAGCGCGGTTGCATAAAATGCAAGAGAACGCCATTACTGAACGCTACTCTTCTTTGAACAAAAAAAATCGTCGAACAAATCTGTAAATTTGTTATCATCCCATTTCACCTAATAATTTTAGACGGTGAGACTAAATAAATGTATGGATATTCATGGTTCTTGTTCTCAAGTACAACATTTATCTCTAAAATATAGGAGAAAACCAAAGTTTGGTATACATGCATCGTCTATTCTACCTGTAATTACATCTGTCACATAAACTCGATTACAAATTTAAAATTGTATTTTTTTTCTAATTCCTCATTTCCTTCTTCCCCTTTCTATTTGATTATTCCTAGTAATCTGTCATTGGTCAGACATTGACCATAAACTGATTCACTACACTGCTGAAATGGACTGCATTTTGCAATTTTGAACTATAAATTCTGGCTCTTCTGGAGAAATACTTATGTGCATAGGGAAACTAATGGCACATATGTTGTTTGTAAACCGGGCTAGAATTTATAGTTCCAAACTGCAAAATGTAGTTCAAATAGCACAGAAAGTCGTAACGCACCAAATTTCGAGATCCTGTCTCTTCCAAAATTAGTCTGACCTCTTTTAAATGAAAACACTGAAACGGTCAAATCAGAAAAATTCGCCTTCTTTGTATAAAAACGAGACCCATGAAAAAGTCGTAAGTGCGAAATCATTGATGTTGTTATGAGGAAAACAGCCGTAGGTACAATGGGTATTATTTCGCCAGAGAGCGAATGAGAACTGTGTTTAAGTTAAATGGAGCCGCTCTCCGCAAATGTGTAACCTCAGATTTTGTTTGTTGTGTGTTCAAAACTCAACCACGAGAGGACGCGGAGGGTAACACTGACGGCTATCTTACCTAACACTGAAATGAAAAAGCCTTTTTAGAGAGTTGAAAGTAAAATTCGTAGATTTTTTAGGACGTATTTCTTTAGCACAATGCTTTCATGAGTCCTCTGGTTGACATTTAATGATATTATAAAAGACTAAATCAATAACATTTTATGCTCGGGCGCTAAAAGCGAATGCAATCGCAATAATCGTGTCCGCAATAAACGTGAAATTTTGGCTCAAAACATGTATCAGATTGCTTAGATTCGTATCTTGTTTTCTAATCCATCCGTAATCAAAGAGTCGCCTTCAATTAGCCGGCTATGCAAAATGACTGTCGTGACGTACGAATAGTGGTATCACAGTTTGTTGAAGGCGCATTTCTGTGTCCTATCTTAGTGCCCTGATTAGTGGTGTTAACCGAAACTAACTTCTTAGTAATATAATTAATGTTTTGACCCGTAAATCCAGATCTCCCGCTCATGGAAAAAAAGTCTACCGAGTTAAATCGTGCACTAAACGTCACCGCAGCAGTATCTGCGGTGTAAATATATGGCAACCTAAATTTCGGTGCTTTAGTTCCACTGTTGCACGTCGTCGTTAACACTGTGAACAACACAATACGCTGAAGGGCCATAGCTAAAGGCCATAGGCTAAAAGCATACGTAATCGCAATAATCGTGTCCTACTTGAAATTTCGGTTAAAAATCATGGATCAGGTAGCTCAAATTCGTAACTTGTCCACTGGTCCAGTGAAAACCGAAGATTCGCCTTCAATTGGGTGGGTATGCATTATGACTGTCGTGGCGCACGAATGGTGGTATCAGAATTTCTCATTGATATTACACAGTGTGTTGAAGGCGCACTTCTGTATACTATCTTAGTGGCCCTGTTCAGTGATGTCAACCGAAAACTTTCACAATTTTGGAGTATTTAATCGGGCCGTAATTTTAAGATATGCACGAAAATGTCTTCTAAAAAAAGCTGGCCAAAAATCAGTACTTATATAGTACTTTTTCAGTACATTTCAAAGAATTTCAGTACTTCCTTTACAACTTTTCAGTACCTCCATTTGACAAAATTTGAAATTCTCGCTCAAATTGCGACAAAAATGACAGTAAATCTAATAAATTCCGGCCATTCTTGTGGAATTTCCGCGTTTTTTCAGTACTTTAGGACCGCCGTTTGACGCCATTTTCAACTTTTAGGAGTCACCAGAGAGCGCTGAGAAAGCAACTTTTACGGATGTAGGTATGTAGGAGACGACAATCATCTCTGATGTCTTTCTATTCAGAGGCATGTGCCAAAAAGAGGCCCTTTTTTGGAACCCGAGCAATCTTCATATGAAATTATCGTTCTTCAGACAAAAGGATGTTTACAGGAACTTTCCCGACGATCCCGCGAACTTTCGGAGCACTGGCTCCTCCAATTGGCAATGCTTGTCGGAGCACTGGCTCCTCCAAGAATCGATACATTTCCATAGGTTGAAATGGCGAAGAAACATTGTTGCCAATTTTTTGGATCCACCAGTTGGTCTGACATATCATTCCTGACTGATCCCTCCGCACAGAAAAAAGTACTTACATTTGAAGCTACGTGCCTAATATGAGCGCTGTGCACCGGGGGAGAGCGCGAGGTTGATGTCACTGCATGCCACAAAATGGAAGAGGCACGCCTGTGCAGAAGCGGATCCAGTAATCTGGCAACACCGATATTCCTCCAGTTGAACCTATGTTAAATCATCGATTCGTGTCAGAGCACTTGGCCCCTCCAAGAATCGATGCATTTCCTTAGGTTTAAATGAAGAAAAAGAATGTTGCGAATTCGCTGGATTCTCCAATGCACCTGTGCTAAGGCCTTGTTCACTCACCTAAAACAAATTAAACAGAATCAATCAGTCAGTGTATTGTGGAAAGACGATACATGAATAATAAAAAAAAAATCACCTACCACACCGAAGAGCCCAGTGCAAGTTTCAAAAAGTATTTAAAAGTTCAGAATAAACCTAAGTTTCAGTAACAAGTTTAACTTAACCAAAAAAATCTTTAAAAACCATCGATAAGGTAAATATCGGTGATATGGATAACTCGGGCATCAACGTAATCAACTGACGCACATGGGAAAAGAGCTATCGATGATATTTGAACGATTTTAGTTTGTTTTCGTAGGAAACAGCCTCCGACACAAATGTACAAAACAGTTTTTGAACATTTTGACTTTCAATTTTTTTAAGAAAAATGTGTTTTTTGTGACTTCTGCAACCTCTAAAAATTTCAATCGCACAAATTGTAAAACATGCTTTCATCTGATTGTGTAATAGAGAGTCAGAAATCTAATAAAAAAAATCGTAAAAAGTAAACTTTTCGGCAGAAAAATTAGAAAACACACAACCAATACAGGAAGGTTCAAAAAGAGGAATAATGGTGTTTTTGACTACGCTTACTAAAATATCAGCTGCCAGCGGTCTCATCTTCAAAATGAAGAAAACTTAGTGTCAAATGAGACCTGAGAGTATAACTGAGCTAACGAACGTGAAAGTAAAAAATTGGAAAATTTTTGACAAGTGACTCCCATTAAAATGTTATAAAGGGGAAAGTCAGCGGTGGCGGAACATTATCGGGTGAGGGAAAGCATGAGAGGGAACACACATACATACACAAAACTAGCAAATTTTTACAGCCTTCCCAAGGGAAAATATATACATTTTTAGACATGTGACATGGTAGCAACGCTTGTTTAACGAAGCCAAGATCGGAATTACTAACAAATCAATCCAGTTCAATGACACTTGACGGTAGAGCCTAATGTGTTCGAAGTCGAAAGCATCATGTGGAAAAAAGTTAAGTGCAAGTGAGTACGCTAATAACTTAAAATTTAGAATCCTACAACGTCATCCAAAAAGTGACGTCTTTTTTGGATTTTCTCGCGAACCATTAAACCTAAAAAAACAACGAACCCGTTGGGCGCAGTACACTCTAAGCTACAACTCAAGCTCTCATTTTTCATATTTGTGTCCCAGGAATTCCCAAGCATGTTCTAAGAATTCAAAAATGCTTGGTTTTCACGGCCATCGCGTTGAAAAGTAAAATAAAAAGTTGAAAATGAACTTTAACTACTTTATCTAGTTCAAACATTTACATAATGTACGAGTGTTCAGAATTTTCATTTCTCCAGGGAACTTCTGGGACTAGTAATTGCACACTCTAAATTTGCCATTGGTCACTTGGAGATGATGGGGCCTTAGCTCTAACACCGCATCGTTAATAGTATTTATGTCATCAGACAGAGGTGTAACTCTCTCGCGGCCAGTGACTCCACAGATATTGTGAAAATTGCAAAGAATCGCTTCAATTTGTCTCCGTTTGTGAAAGTGTTCGAGATCGGCATCATTATTCTGAGCGATGAAACCTTATTTCTACTTTTATATCATAAGGATGGTTACTGAGGCGTCCTTAAACTATGGAGGTAAGGAATACTACAATTAATACAAATGGGATGATTTTTTTTTTTTTAATTTTGATATTAAAACAAGTCTGATAAAAAGAAGAAAAAGACTAAAAATATCAGAAAAGTACTCAGAAAATTCTCCTGCATCTGAATAAAAACCACAAAGGTAAATTAAAACAAATTAAAAATTGATAAAAAAAATATGCAGGTTAAAAATGAACATGATTGCACGTAAGTTTTGGAAAATAAAACTTTCTTGTAGTGGTCAGATTTAACTGGGGTGGGAAACGCTAAAATAGAAAAAAAACAATGGCAGATGTAAAATAGAAAAGGTTCTTCACAAATCCTTGCCCACATAAAGAATAACGCAACTCCATTATTTCAAGGTTGCAACTTTAATTCAAACAAGTCAGTTTTTTACAAGAACACGATAAGATAAGTCCAAAAATTTGCTGAATATAGCGTATGGTTTCATGGGAAAATCGGTTTATTATCAAGTAGAAACTCCTATCAGTTTTTTATTGAAAATAAAATATATGAACAGAAATTGCAATACGAGGAATGTTAGATAAAAAACCGGATTTTGGTGATAAGCAGCCCATTGTGCGTCCGAATCAGGTTTTCTTGGACTTTCCTTATAGCTGAAAATATACTTAAGAACGCTACATTCACAAATTTAAAAAAAAAAAAAAAAAAAAAAAAAAAAAAACTAATTAGCTTCGATGGTGCGTGACGGGAAGTAAGGCAACCTCATGGGTGTTCTGCGATTTCCATGTTTGACGGAAATTATCGCTCATTTTTGGGCGCTTCTGGGTACCAATCGTCCATTTTCTGTACTGACTTTCAAATCTGTACTCTTCCAGCCGATTCAAACTTTTTCCGCACCGTACTTATTTATATTTTGTTTCTGATTCCACGTTTTATAATATTTTTAT